TATCAGGTTATGATAATCTTTATTCAACTGATACAATTACTTCTTTTAGTGAAACTTTGCATGAAAGTACTCGGAGTATAAAGCGAAAATTAACCGACGACTGCCTCGTTATGGCACAAGAGATTAGGTTACATCTCCAATAGGAGAATTGATATACTTGTGTCTAACGGGATTCTAGACCCTCTTGACTTATAGATTATGATTTGTGTGTCAAATGTATAAAGGGAAAACAAATCAATAAAATGAGATTTCAAGCCAATAGAACTTCGAATGTCTTAGAACTTATGCATACGGATATTTGTGGACCATTCCCTACGGGTTCTTAGAACTGTCAACAATATTTTATAATGTTCATGGACGAATTTCAAGATATGGCTACATATATATCGTTCATGAAAAATCACAGTCACTAAATATGTTCAAAAATTATAAAGTCGAAGTTGAAAACCAACTCAGCAAAAAGGATTAAAAGCGTTAGATCTGACCGTAGGGTGAATACCATGACAGATATGACGATTCAGGTGAACAACGTCCAGGGTCATTTGCTGAATTCCTAGATGAATATGGTATCGTCCCACGGTATACTATATCGAGTTCGCCCACTATAAATGGTATTGTTGAGAGACAAAACAAAACGCTTAGGACATGGTGAGGAATATGATTAGTCTTCTATCTTATTAAAATCTCTCGGGGTAAAGCACTAAAGACAACAACGTATATACTCAATAGAATTCCAACTAAGGCCACCGATATAACCCCTTATGAGTTTTGGATGAGCAAGATATCTAGTTTGAAGCATATATACATTTGGGGATGTCCAATTGAGGCAAGGCCCAATAAGCCAAATGAAAGGAAATTGGACGCAAAGACCATTAGTTGCTACTTTATTGGGTATTCTGAAAGGTCTAGAGGTTACAAGTTTTATGATCCCACAACTAAGACAATTTTTAAGATAGAAAATGCTCAATTCTTTGAGAATGTTGAATTTACGGAGGGAAAAAGGGTTACAGGCTTTGTTTTTTAGGAGGAATATATTGAAATTCCTCCAATTGACATTGACAATAATCAAGTTTCTATCCCTGGCACTGTTTAAGAAGCAACTCCAGATTAAAACAATGTCGTATCTTCCTCTCAAGGTCAATAAATTATTCCAAAATAATAAACTCTACGGTCTCAAGAACCAATACCATTAAGAAGATCCACTAGAGAGATGAGAAATGCGATTTCGGATGATTATATTGTATTTCTGCAAGAACATGAAGTTGATATTGGAATGGTGAAAAATGACCTGATCAACTTCCTTCAAGCCATTGAAAGTTCTAACTCCCAAAAGTGGCTTGATGCCATGAATGAAGAAAAAAATCTATGAAGGACAATGATGCATGGGATCTAGTTCCACTGCCTAAAGGTGCGAAACTCATTGGTTGCAAATGAAGGGATTCGAAGGGTAATATAGAGAGGTATAAGGCTTGTCTTGTCGCAAAGGACTTTACACAGAAAGAAGGCATCGATTATAAAGAGATTTTCTCTTCGATTTATTCGAAAGACTCTTTCAGGAGTATAATGGTATTGGTACCGCATTTCAATCTTAAGTTACATCAGATGGATGTTAAGACAGCGTTTCTCAATGGTGACATTAATGAAACAATTTATATGGTACAACCAGAAAACTTCGTATAAGATGATGCAAAGCAAATGATTTGTAAACTAAAGAAATTCATCTATGGACTCAAACAGGCATCTCGTCGATGGTATTACAAGTTTCATCAAGTGACCATCTCATTTAGTTTTGAAATGAATTTGGTCGATGATTGTATATACCACAAGTTTAGTGGGAGCAAGTATATTTTCTGATTTTATATGTCGATGACATATTGCTTGCCAGCAACGATATAGGCTTGTTGCACGAAACAAAGAGATTTCTAACAAAGAATTTTGAAATGAAAAATCTGGGTGACGCCTCTTTTGCATTAGGAATTCAGATACATCGAGATCATTCTCGGGGTATTCTTGAATTATCACAAAATATCAAAAATGTGCTTAAAAGATATGACATACAAGATTGTAAACCAAGTGACACCTTTTTAGCTAAAGAAGATAAGTTCAATTTAAATCAGTGCCCTAAAAATGACTTGAAAATTAAAGAAATGCAGAAATTTTCTTATTCTTCAGCTATAGTGAGTCTAATGTACGCTCAAGTTTGTACGCGTGCAAATATAGCATACATTGTTTGAATGCTAGGGAGATATTTAAGTAACCCCGGAATTGATCATTAGAAAGCAGCAAAACGAGTCATGCGGTATTTACAAGAGTAAAGGACTACATGCTCAGATACAACAAATCGGATCAGTTGGAGATCGTCAGTTATTCTGATTTCGATTTCATGGGATGCTAAAATAGTAGAAGATCCATTTCAGGTTATATCTACCTACTTGTTGAAGGTGTTATTTCTTAAAAAAGTGCTAAACAAACATTGATAGCTACTTCTACCATGGTGGCGAAGTTTATAGCGTATTATGAGACATCAAATTATGGAATATGGCTGCGAAAGACCGCTTAAAATATTTTATGACAATAAATCAGCAATACTGTATTTCAATAACAACAAGATCTCGATGAAGTCAAAACATATAGAAATCAAGTTCTTGACTGTTAAAAAAAGAGTTCAGAGTGGACGGGTGTCAATGGAGCATATTGGGACAAACTCTATAGTTGCGGATCCGCTTATGAAGAGATTAATACCTTAATACCCGAGATCTTTCATGAGCACACGGCTCATATGGGTATAATGTCTTTTGAAGATATCTAATTTTAGTGGGAGTTTGTATTCCTGCTTCTCATATTGGACACATGTACTGTTATTTTGGATATGATTTATGGTTAAAGTTATTTTCAGTTATAAAATTTATTTGGTTTATTACCTCTGAACTTGTTTAAAATGATCTCACTAAGGTTTAAGGTGGACCAATTGGATATAAGCGTTTTACAAATCACGTCACTTGTAATTTCCATGCTACACATTCATACTTGATCCATGTCATTCAGTTATATCTATATACGTGACCATTGATGGGTTTAGTTACGATGAAGTAGCGAAGGCCGCTTTAATCCTAGATTGATATGATTGATGGATGTGATTGTTTGGGGATATATTCAGTAATGATAGCAAAATTTTGAGTACTTATAAGGATATGTTTAATGCACAATTATAAGGTGACACATATAACCCAAGTAGAAGATTGTAAGGAATTTTAAAACGACGGTGGGGGCTTATATGTGTAAGTTAATTGTATATTAAATTAAAAGCTATCAAATTTGTTTAAGCCCGTTTAAAAGTGATCCAATAAGATTCCAGTATTTTGGACTTTAATGCATCCAATTAAAGAGATGGTCTTTTATGTGTAGAGATCGGGCCCAAATTCCTAATTCTATGATGGGCCAAATTAGGTTAAAAAGCATCACTATATAAATACAGTTATGGTCCACAAATCACATGTGAATTGCTTGTTTTGTTCTGTCTCCCATCGCTAGAAAGAATTAATGGTTGCGTGTTGATTTAGAAGACTAAAAATCGCAAGATTCAACTATTGCATTAATCATATCTGATTCATGTACGCTTCCGCTATAATTCATGTATTTTTTGATTATCCAACATGAAAGATCCGATGATTTTACGAAAATAATTTCTCCTACATTACTATCTAACAATTCGTGGCATCATGTGACTCGTATCAGTTGTCACCTCCATTCCAGGACTCGACGAAAACCAGGTGCTTAAGGAATTCACCATGGCATCTTTTGTTGATTATATATTTATAATCGGTGGCCGGCTTTGTCTCAAGGTATTGGACCCTAAGATTGACAATGCTAAAAGAAATCGACTTAAGGGTCGTTCCTTGCGTCCGTAGATACAATAAAAGGACGGATAATTGGGAAATTTGTGCACTTTTAAGCATACCGAGGTTTGATTTTGCATGCACTATACGTGACAGCAAAATTTACGTGGTGGGCGGACAGAGCTCTTTAGGTAGGGCCAACGGCATTTCGTCGACCGAGGTTTACAATCCCACCCTGGACGAATGGAAGTCTTAGGCTAACATGTCCACAATGAGGTACAAGTGTGTTGGAGTAACCTGACAAGGCAAAATTCATGTTGTAGGGGGATTTTCTGATAGGGGAAACTTCGACCGTATGTCATGACAAGGAGTTCAGCTGAGGTTTACGACCCTCAACACGACAAATGGGATTTCAAAGCAATAACGTGGGAATTGGATGTTCCTCCATACCAGATCGTTGATGTGAACAAGAAGCTTTACAGTTCCGGGGATTCCTTTAAGCTGTGGAAGGGATACATCGAGGCGTACGATGAGAAACAGAGCATTTGGAACGGGGTTAATGAATCGAATTTACATTGTAAGTCTCCCAATTCCACTCCTGACGTGAAGTAAACAAATTGGCCACCAATGCAAATGTTGTACCTAAACATGGCTCCAATAGGAATTAAATTGTACTTCCTGGCTGGCTATAGGATGCCCGGGAGGCATCGGGATTGAGGTTGCAGGTGTAAGTTTTCAACACGACTGCCAATGGAGATGGACGGAGGACTTTTGAGCCAATTGAGGAGGAAAGGGAAAGGAAGCTTTGTGGCCGTTGCTTTGTTCTAAAACAGGACTAGTTACACAGCCTTCAAAGTGAAATTTCTACGCTAATCATTGAGCGCTTATAGAAATGTATTATGGAAATGAAATCAGGCAAACAAAAAAGTTAGAGAAGTTCGGGCCTGGGGGGATACACGAACAACGTTGTCAAAGATCAAACTAACATTGTATTATTAATATATACCTTTGTTTATTTTTCTTTTTGTGTGCTTCTTACTGATTCATGTCCACCTTAAATTAGTGAAAGCTAGTTCTATCTTGCATATGGCTTGCACCACACACGGTACCAGCTTTCTATAGAGGAAAATTGGCCAAATGGCTGGACAATTAACAATCTCTGAGTCATTAAGAAACCAGAAGCTTTTTATTTCCTGAAGGCAGCAGAGGGGAATCTGCCAAGATATAATTACAAATTTACATCAGAGTTGATGTACTGCCAAAAAATAAATAAATAATTGAATAGATAAGCAATATCATCGTTTCAATGTGCAAATCCTTTAGCAGGTGACTCTTAAGGACAAGTTAATACATTAATTGTAGCACAAATCTTGATTCTAGCGTGGAAGATAAAGCCTCTTGAAGTGAATAAAGGTCAACTGATGAAGCAATGTAACATTTCCGTATGTCTTCTATGAGCATCGACTTCTTGTTATAAAGATGATCAATCACCTGATTACTGAATTCTAGGAAGAAGATGCAGCACGATCTGATTCTATCATGGATTTAATATAGAATTCACCCGCCTTGTATGATGACCTAACCATGGGACCAGATGCAACATATCGAAATCCCTGCCACAATTCAAAGAAGCATAATGTTCAACCATTCCATCAATCCTATTCTTCGTTCTTAACTAGTTATCACCAATCTTGAACAAGGTTTCTTACTTTGCATTAATCATAATCTTTAAAAGCGTCCAAGCCAATTTACTCTCTAAATATTTCAAAGAAGTTGAACCACGTCTAGATTAGTTATATTATGTTTGACTCCATATTACCATTAAAAACAAAAGCAGATTCATAGAATCAATATTTGGCCAGAGTGCAGGAGTGCTGGCACACACAAAACGTAATCAAGTAATGACAGAATTTAATTCAAGAATAGGCACATGCCAAATGATTTCATCAATTAATCTATATAGTTTCTCACTTTTAATTAATTTTCAGGTACCAGGAAGGGTAAAGGTCAGAGACGAATGAACTGAAAGTCTAAAACTAAAAAATTAAGAAATAAGCTTTTGTACTTTTTTATGGAGGAGTGGCGAAAAAATAATAATGTAGTAAATCAAAATATTAAGATAAATAGCAATTTCCAGTTCTCATTTGGTAACGGAAAATGAACTCGCAATGAAATGCAAGGGTTAAAGTGATAAGTAACAGTTTCTATTTCTTCTTTAGTTACTGAAAAATAGAATCTCATAATACCACTAATAAAAATAACTGCAGAAAATAGAAAAATAAAACAGAATATCAATGGAAGTTCAGGCAGCAGTCCATAGCATACAAGTCTAATAAGCCCTTGTTTGAGCCACATTCTTTAAAAAAAAATCATTCTTAAACAATGACTTGACATCATTTTAACCACATATTCTTCAATAAAAAATATTACACGCAAATTCAAAAATTTTCCTTATTTTTAAACCACACATTTCACATCATAACACTATTCAAAAATGCATTTTCTTGGCAAAAATGGGGCTCAAACAAGGGCTAAATCTAGTCAGATTAATATAGCATTCAGAGAGAGAACATATGAATGCAAATTGAAAAAGGATGTGTATGTAAATGGCGAGAAGAGAGCTATTACATATTAGCAATTACCACTATTAATGAACTAAGTTTTCTTTTTAAAAGAAGACAAAGTAGAGGAACAAACCATTTCCATGCCGAGGATTCGATACTTCTCAAAGGCCTCCGGAGTTACATATTCAGATACTGGCATGTGACGCTTCGAAGGTCTCATGTACTGACCAAAAGTCATTACATCAACACCCGCTGCCCTCACTTTCTCCATAGTATTCACAACTTGGTCGGGTGTTTCTCCACACCCCAACATTATCGACGTTTTGGTGAGTGTACCTGGAGGAGCATAGCCCTTTGCCATTACTAAAACATCCATAGATTGCTTAAAATTAGCACGGCGATCACGTACTACACTTTGAAGCTCCTCAACAGTTTCAATGTTGTGAGCAAAAACATCTAACCCAGATTTTGCAACTTTCTCAACACAGCTGGGGTCTCCTCGGAAATCAGGAACTGCAAATTGAACACAATGCAGATAGCAGAACATGTTTCAAGAATATATTTTTCATCATGACAGCAAAACCAGTCCTAGTTTTCATATCAACATAAAAATAGTAAACAACATTATTAATGTCAAAAATTTTAGATAGGTATCCTACATCTAAACTAATAGGTTGAACTTCTCCATGAAGACCATGGGTTTCCCGTAGAAGTTTCTGACTAAAGGATCAGCTGATCAGTTAGTCTAACAGATAAAGTCCATTAATCAACGCCAATCAGTTGAGGTGCAGCGTATAAAAACTATTAATTGGAGGGGACAAAAGCAATGTAGCTCTCTATAAAGAATAAACAACAGTGAGTCATCGAATTTTTAGATGGTCCCCAATCCGGACAAACTGTACAGGTAACTGAATTTCTCGTAGCTGCCTTAAACCCGTTTCATTCATCGCAGATTTACAGGTGAAAAAGCATAAACGATTCAGAATTCGGCACATGCTCAATTTTAAGGCTAAATACAGATTTATTTTTTGTAAGGCTAACCTAGATCAATTTCCTTACTTTTACTCCACCTGCTGCAGAAGCTCCATTTCCTACATCCATATCTTGAACAACTTAAACAAACAGAAGCATGGTAGATTCATACCTAAAGCTTCTATGAGCATGGTTGGCTTCAATGTCTTCAACTTCTGGACTGTCTCAGCAAAATGGCCACTACCTTGATCAAGTAAATCATCGCGATCAACACTGGTAATTACCACATAATCCAAGCCCCATGAAGCAATTGCCTCTGCCACATTTGTGGGCTCATTTGGGTCGGGAGGAGGTGGAGTGCGTGATGTCTTCACATTGCAGAATCTGAAATTTTAAGATTAAATACAAGACTCCACAAAATTCAGAATCTTCAATTTTACAATGACCAGGCAAAGTTCAATAGCTTGCACTAGAGAATAGACATAAAAATAAGTCCCATCATTGGCCCACAATTAGGATCTTTACACTTTAATTTCTTTAGAGAGTCCACTCATCATATACCATAAGGTAATATAAATCATTTCCCCCCTACTCAGCAAAAAGTATTTATGATTACTCCAATTGCATAATGCCGCCGTCCATCTGGTTTTTTTTCTCTATATGTACTTCTAACTACATCAAGTGAGCATAAATACAAATCAAATCGATTCCTTTCATCAAGAAAAATTCACTAATTTGATTCCAGTATTCAATAATAAACACCACTCTTACAATACAGAAATATTTTTCAGACAGATCACTTACCTGCAACCGCGGGTGCAGGTATCACCCAGAATCATAATGGTGGCAGTGGCAGTGCCTGTTTCGCCGCCGGACCAACATTCCCCCAAATTAGGACACTTGGCTTCTTCACAAACGGTGTGCAACTTTAATTCCCTCAATTTTTTCTTTATCTGCGTGTATTTTTCACCCCCGGGGATTGATTCCTTCATCCATTTGGGTTTGGGCAGGGGCTTCTTCTTGGTGCCAACTTCAACGGAGTAGTGGTTTTCGGATTGGAGATTGGTAAAGTCGGCTAAGGTTGGTAACTCAGCTGCGAGCCGCTGGCGCAGGCCATCGAGGGTCGGAGGATATTTCTGGAAATCTGACAGCGGGGTCGAGTTTGTCGAGGTGGGGATAGAGGAGAGGCAATGACTCGGTTGAGAGAGAAAGAAGAGAGGGGATTTGTTGTTATAGGATTTGAGGGATCGATTGGCAAAAGAAATAAAACGGGAATTCATTTTCCCCTGTATATGGCGGCGGCGGCGTTGTTTCTGGTGAAGGAATCGATTGAGTGGTGGTTGGTCGACGGCAAGGCCAAACAGAGGGACGCCACTGGATTGATTGTTGATACGTGGATTTTAAAATGATAAAATGACCCTTTCAAAATAAAAAAGGAAATAGTAAAATGATTTGGCGGTATTCAAAATTAGGTTTTAACAGGGACGAGAGGTCCATTCGATTCATTTCGGTGACGAACTGAGCAGCAAAATACTCGTTCGAGCTGTTCGTAGATTTGCTCGAGTTGACTCGCGAATTTAAAATGTGAGCTGCGGCTCGAGCTCACATTTGACAAAGGAAGCTGACATGTATGATTGTTTGGGTCGAGCTTGACGGTGGATGAGCTATAAAGCTTGTTCGATAGTGATTTTGAGAATTGATTTTTTGATCATTAGAAAAAAAGTGGGTCTTACCTATGAGAGAAAAAGTAAAAAAATTACGATTTGAATAGTGAAATAACGGTAAAAAATTTGGTGTTTTTTTTTTTTTTTTAAATGGTGAAAATCTAAACGAAACATGCACCTAATTGAAATGTCTTCTGGTTTTGTTTAAAAAAAAAAAAAAAAGGAATTTTAGCACAAATGGTTCCTTAACCTTTTTCTTCCATGCAATTTTGGTCCCCTAACATTTAGTTATTAGCAGAACGTTCTCCCCCCATGCATTTTGTGCTCAAATGGTCCTGTTTAACAGATTTCAGCACTCAGCAGTGGTCCTATGCTGCCGTTGATTGTGTAACATATGATGTAATAAGGCCAAATATTGCTTATATGGTTGAAATTCCTGCCAACTTCCACGCAAGTATGGATTTAGGATTGAATCCAAGATCGAGTTACAAAATTTCAAACAAGACTTGTATGCGGAAAAAAAAAATTACACATAAAAAAACTAGTTTTTTACCGAAAAAAAATACCTTAAAAAAATGTTCTTGGGCTTGAGGAGGGGGCTACAGCCCAGCCCAGCCCCCAAATCCATCTCTGTTTCCACAGTTGTTTGTGCTTCAGCAATGGTGTTGGATGGGTATACAAATACAATTATAGTTGGTGGCATGGATTCCAATAAATCCAGTTCAAGATTCTTGATAACGTTTCCAACGAGAGCTGTACATTAGTAATCCAAGTTGCATAAATTTATAGCTCTATCGTTGACGAAGCTGTATATACAAGAATTGGTTCTGCAGTAAGTCCACTTCAAGAATCTTTATGATGTTTGCAGTGAGATCCGTATATTAGCAATCCGAATTGCATAAATTTATAGTTATGTTCTATCACAGAAGCTGTATACTATAATAACCGAGGCATGCAATTAAGCATAGTGAATAAAAAATATCTACAAGAACTGAATCTGCCACAAGAAAAGTGAGTAATTTATTATGACATTCCTTACAAGATCTAACCATATCGATGTCAAGTATTATTAAATTCGATATGTAAATCATTCTATGAACATGATGTCAAGAGTCTCATTTTTACCGTATTGTCTAATTCTTTATTTTTATTTTTGGGTAAATATTTAATTTTATCAATAGTAAAAGGCAAATTATAAACAAAAGAGGTGACGAAGTTAAGACCTCTTGGTAGCAAAAATAAGTACAAAATATTCTTAATTAAATCCAATTAGAATTCCATGAATCAAATTGAAATTAGTTAAAATTAGACACGAAAAAATAACAAATGGAAATCCATGAAGGAGTAGAGAGCAAAATTCTAACCCCTTCATCTGATGCTAGGGTTTTCTTTTTATAGTGAGCTCAAATCATTTTCATCGCCAGCTTGGATATTGTTAGAGTTCATAACCAATTTTCCTCACAAGGGGCTGCTACGAGGATGATTGCAATGATGAAACATAATTTCTTGAGTGTCAAAATCATTTCCGTTTTCGTTTCACATCCAAGAAATTGACTTCTTGCTCAATAGATAAAATTTCATACAAAAAGTACCATGGAAAACCATCGATATCACCCATAAACGCAATGTCTTGCTCAACAATATCTCTTTCATTGTCATGAGAAATAGGAGCACAAAATTTAAGAGAATGAGTGGACGAACTTAGACACTCAAGTTCGTACGAAAATCAACAAGGATTGAGGGGGCAATTTGCTTAAAGATTTGGCAGTTGAATTGATTCATATTTACTATTTTGCCATTTAGTCCCTAAACTACTTATTTTGTTCAATCTCCGAATCAATTTTCTCCTCATTTTCCTAGTTCTCATTCCATCTTCTCGACCATTATCTCAACCTCTCTCTCCAAATGACTTATTTTCTTCGTTCTTCTTCCTAATCATGGCTATTTACCAAAATCCATCTTATCCATGCTCCTCACCAAACTCCATCCTAAGAAGTAAAAACGAAAATAATCTAGCATGAATTCAAGTTAAATCACCTACAAAATAGCAACAGTTTGCTTTACTAAGCAGTGCACGTAGGATAAATAAAGTAGAGGTGGCACAACGATCGCTACCAGAGTGGACCCCGCATCTTCGAAATATTTTTTTTTCTCTTCCCGTCCCCGGTCATACTCCAGCGTGTCCACATAAAAGGAAATAGCAAATGCATCTTGCTCAACAAGCATAGCTTGAAAGATATTAAGACCAAATAAATGTGAAAGTTAACATTCTCAGTCTTACTATGCAAAATGACATTTAGATTTATAGCAATAAGCAACTCGATTTCAGCTTAACCGAATATAAATAATTCAACCTGGACATAATGAATTGATTGAACAAGGATTTAAAACATGTTAAGTAAAAAAATAGGGAAAATTGTAGTTGCGATCTCAAACCTTTTAAATTGTTGCAAACTATACCTAAACTTTCATTTTTGCAAATGGGGCGTCAAACCTTTCATATCGAGTGCAGCTCGAGGACATGTGGACGGAATTCTTCCATTTGACCATTAGTTGACCAAAAGTCAGCGAACTGACCAAATTATCCCACATAAAATAATAAAAAAATAAAAAACTATTTGGTCAGATAGTTGATTTTTGGTTAAATGAGAATCAAATGGATGAATTTCATCCATGTGTCATTCAACTGAAATCGAGATCAAAGGTTTGGGACCCTAACTATAAAAATAAAAAGTTTAGATATAATCTGCAATAATTTGAAAGGTTGAGGTCCCAACTGCAGTTCTCCCTAAAAATAAGAAAAAAATTTGTTTTGCGTGTAAAATTATTTTATGGCAAAATGTGTGGTTGAAAATGAATTTTAAAAAAATGAGTTTGAGGAAAATGAAGACCAAAGATTGGCATAGTAAAGGATGTAATAATTTTGTTACAAATGTTAGAATAAGCCCATGTTCGATGCCATTAATTGAGAAAAATGATGTTTTGAATGGTAATTTTTTTGGAGAATGTATATTTAAAAAACATATATATATATATATATATATGCACATGTTGACGCACTAAAAGTGCAACCCAAATCAAATAGCCCAAAAAGTGAATTCCAATTGGGGAATTCAGGATAAAGGTCCAAACAGGATTATTAATGAATGTCGTGGAAGCCCACGAACACGATAACATCATCGCTCAATCTTGCAAAACGCCCAGAATCTTAGTGAATGGAGCACCTTACGGTCGCCCAGAGCGATGACCCCGTTCTCGTCCAAACCTTCGAATCGCCAAGGATCTTAGCAAGCATAAAACATTATGGTTATCTAGAATAGCAGTTATTGAAGCAGTTATTAAGTGATCTTATCACATTCCACGATTCAAGGAGCCCAGTTGAAAGCGATTGAACGATAAAGAGTAATGGCAATAGTTAGAGACGGCAGTTCCACAACAAGTTAGCCACCATAAAGAAAGTGGGTGGTTATACAGCAATCAAGCAGTTTCCAAGCGGTTTGTCACGAAATGTATATACAAGAATTGGTTCTGCAGTAAGTCCACTTCAAGAATCTTTATGATGTTTGCAGTGAGATCCGTATATTAGCAATCCAAATTGCATAAATTTATAGTTATGTTCTATCACAGAAGCTGTATACTATAATAACCGAGGCATGCAATTAAGCATAGTGAATAAAAAATATCTACAAGAATCTTGTCACGAAAAAATCATCAAGGGAATATAAAAGGAAGAGAAGATATAGAGAAAAAGGACGAATCAAACACTCTCAAACAGAGAATATGTAATTTCGATTTCTTAGTTTAAATTTAAACACTTCTTTTAGTACTCGTGTGCTTGCGCCCCTTGGAGGCATTCTGTTTATTTCCAATTGTAAATCATCGCCAATAAAACACCCCTTTTTGGGACTTTATCTCAAGAGGTATGTTCCTTACACAATCGTCTGATCTCTTTTAAATTGTTAGTGACTACCCGCGCGAAACAAATTTGGCACGCCCAGTGGGACCTTGGTGTTTGGTGTTGAAGAAAAAAAGGTGAAACAATACGCCTCACAAATCTGATAAGGAAGCAGCAAGTCAGGGATGAGTCCAGTCTGTGATCGAGCAATATGAGGAGCAACAAAGCTCTCCACGAACAGAGGGACAGAGTCGGAGCAATTACAGTTGTTACGAACCAATGACAGAGTTGAGTCCTCGAACCATGCGTGCATTGCTTGGAGAACCCACACAGGATGTCGTTGAACAGGTAAATCTACGAAATGTTCATAATATAAAAAGATTTACCCAGAATGGGAATGCACATTATGACAACATGGCCAAATAACTGAATACATTAAATGAAATAATGAATTAGTTAGTAGGCCAAATTTGTCAGCCAGTTGTGCCTATTGCAAATCACTTTCAAACTAGGACAATCGTGGGACATAATTCCCCAGTCCTAAGTTCAAATCAGGGGATAGAACCACCTTTTGGTCCACCTACTTCAAACCAGAGGGATGGTGTAATGCCAAATCAGAATAGTGGTAATGGTACATCTAACTTGGGAGTAACCTAAATATAAGAGACAATGTCCTAAATAATGGACAGAATACCCCACGTGTCAATGATGGAATAAATATTCAGGCTAATGGGAACAATGGCCCAAATCATGGCAACTTATGGTCCCCAATCCGGACAAACTGTACAGGTAACTGAATTTCTCGTAGCTGCCTTAAACCCGTTTCATTCATCGCAGATTTACAGGTGAAAAAGCATAAACGATTCAGAATTCGGCACATGCTCAATTTTAAGGCTAAATACAGATTTATTTTTTGTAAGGCTAACCTAGATCAATTTCCTTACTTTTACTCCACCTGCTGCAGAAGCTCCATTTCCTACATCCATATCTTGAACAACTTAAACAAACAGAAGCATGGTAGATTCATACCTAAAGCTTCTATGAGCATGGTTGGCTTCAATGTCTTCAACTTCTGGACTGTCTCAGCAAAATGGCCACTACCTTGATCAAGTAAATCATCGCGATCAACACTGGTAATTACCACATAATCCAAGCCCCATGAAGCAATTGCCTCTGCCACATTTGTGGGCTCATTTGGGTCGGGAGGAGGTGGAGTGCGTGATGTCTTCACATTGCAGAATCTGAAATTTTAAGATTAAATACAAGACTCCACAAAATTCAGAATCTTCAATTTTACAATGACCAGGCAAAGTTCAATAGCTTGCACTAGAGAATAGACATAAAAATAAGTCCCATCATTGGCCCACAATTAGGATCTTTACACTTTAATTTCTTTAGAGAGTCCACTCATCATATACCATAAGGTAATATAAATCATTTCCCCCCTACTCAGCAAAAAGTATTTATGATTACTCCAATTGCATAATGCCGCCGTCCATCTGGTTTTTTTTCTCTATATGTACTTCTAACTACATCAAGTGAGCATAAATACAAATCAAATCGATTCCTTTCATCAAGAAAAATTCACTAATTTGATTCCAGTATTCAATAATAAACACCACTCTTACAATACAGAAATATTTTTCAGACAGATCACTTACCTGCAACCGCGGGTGCAGGTATCACCCAGAATCATAATGGTGGCAGTGGCAGTGCCTGTTTCGCCGCCGGACCAACATTCCCCCAAATTAGGACACTTGGCTTCTTCACAAACGGTGTGCAACTTTAATTCCCTCAATTTTTTCTTTATCTGCGTGTATTTTTCACCCCCGGGGATTGATTCCTTCATCCATTTGGGTTTGGGCAGGGGCTTCTTCTTGGTGCCAACTTCAACGGAGTAGTGGTTTTCGGATTGGAGATTGGTAAAGTCGGCTAAGGTTGGTAACTCAGCTGCGAGCCGCTGGCGCAGGCCATCGAGGGTCGGAGGATATTTCTGGAAATCTGACAGCGGGGTCGAGTTTGTCGAGGTGGGGATAGAGGAGAGGCAATGACTCGGTTGAGAGAGAAAGAAGAGAGGGGATTTGTTGTTATAGGATTTGAGGGATCGATTGGCAAAAGAAATAAAACGGGAATTCATTTTCCCCTGTATATGGCGGCGGCGGCGTTGTTTCTGGTGAAGGAATCGATTGAGTGGTGGTTGGTCGACGGCAAGGCCAAACAGAGGGACGCCACTGGATTGATTGTTGATACGTGGATTTTAAAATGATAAAATGACCCTTTCAAAATAAAAAAGGAAATAGTAAAATGATTTGGCGGTATTCAAAATTAGGTTTTAACAGGGACGAGAGGTCCATTCGATTCATTTCGGTGACGAACTGAGCAGCAAAATACTCGTTCGAGCTGTTCGTAGATTTGCTCGAGTTGACTCGCGAATTTAAAATGTGAGCTGCGGCTCGAGCTCACATTTGACAAAGGAAGCTGACATGTATGATTGTTTGGGTCGAGCTTGACGGTGGATGAGCTATAAAGCTTGTTCGATAGTGATTTTGAGAATTGATTTTTTGATCATTAGAAAAAAAGTGGGTCTTACCTATGAGAGAAAAAGTAAAAAAATTACGATTTGAATAGTGAAATAACGGTAAAAAATTTGGTGTTTTTTTTTTTTTTTTAAATGGTGAAAATCTAAACGAAACATGCACCTAATTGAAATGTCTTCTGGTTTTGTTTAAAAAAAAAAAAAAAAGGAATTTTAGCACAAATGGTTCCTTAACCTTTTTCTTCCATGCAATTTTGGTCCCCTAACATTTAGTTATTAGCAGAACGTTCTCCCCCCATGCATTTTGTGCTCAAATGGTCCTGTTTAACAGATTTCAGCACTCAGCAGTGGTCCTATGCTGCCGTTGATTGTGTAACATATGATGTAATAAGGCCAAATATTGCTTATATGGTTGAAATTCCTGCCAACTTCCACGCAAGTATGGATTTAGGATTGAATCCAAGATCGAGTTACAAAATTTCAAACAAGACTTGTATGCGGAAAAAAAAAATTACACATAAAAAAACTAGTTTTTTACCGAAAAAAAATACCTTAAAAAAATGTTCTTGGGCTTGAGGAGGGGGCTACAGCCCAGCCCAGCCCCCAAATCCATCTCTGTTTCCACAGTTGTTTGTGCTTCAGCAATGGTGTTGGATGGGTATACAAATACAATTATAGTTGGTGGCATGGATTCCAATAAATCCAGTTCAAGATTCTTGATAACGTTTCCAACGAGAGCTGTACATTAGTAATCCAAGTTGCATAAATTTATAGCTCTATCGTTGACGAAGCTGTATATACAAGAATTGGTTCTGCAGTAAGTCCACTTCAAGAATCTTTATGATGTTTGCAGTGAGATCCGTATATTAGCAATCCGAATTGCATAAATTTATAGTTATGTTCTATCACAGAAGCTGTATACTATAATAACCGAGGCATGCAATTAAGCATAGTGAATAAAAAATATCTACAAGAACTGAATCTGCCACAAGAAAAGTGAGTAATTTATTATGACATTCCTTACAAGATCTAACCATATCGATGTCAAGTATTATTAAATTCGATATGTAAATCATTCTATGAACATGATGTCAAGAGTCTCATTTTTACCGTATTGTCTAATTCTTTATTTTTATTTTTGGGTAAATATTTAATTTTATCAATAGTAAAAGGCAAATTATAAACAAAAGAGGTGCTGAATCTGCCACAAGAAAAGTGAGTAATTTATTATGACATTCCTTACAAGATCTAACCATATCGATGTCAAGTATTATTAAATTCGATATGTAAATCATTCTATGAACATGATGTCAAGAGTCTCATTTTTACCGTATTGTCTAATTCTTTATTTTTATTTTTGGGTAAATATTTAATTTTATCAATAGTAAAAGGCAAATTATAAACAAAAGAGGTGACGAAGTTAAGACCTCTTGGTAGCAAAAATAAGTACAAAATATTCTTAATTAAATCCAATTAGAATTCCATGAATCAAATTGAAATTAGTTAAAATTAGACACGAAAAAATAACAAATGGAAATCCATGAAGGAGTAGAGAGCAAAATTCTAACCCCTTCATCTGATGCTAGGGTTTTCTTTTTATAGTGAGCTCAAATCATTTTCATCGCCAGCTTGGATATTGTTAGAGTTCATAACCAATTTTCCTCACAAGGGGCTGCTACGAGGATGATTGCAATGATGAAACATAATTTCTTGAGTGTCAAAATCATTTCCGTTTTCGTTTCACATCCAAGAAATTGACTTCTTGCTCAATAGATAAAATTTCATACAAAAAGTACCATGGAAAACCATCGATATCACCCATAAACGCAATGTCTTGCTCAACAATATCTCTTTCATTGTCATGAGAAATAGGAGCACAAAATTTAAGAGAATGAGTGGACGAACTTAGACACTCAAGTTCGTACGAAAATCAACAAGGATTGAGGGGGCAATTTGCTTAAAGATTTGGCAGTTGAATTGATTCATATTTACTATTTTGCCATTTAAGTCCTAAGTTCAAATCAGGGGATAGAACCACCTTTTGGTCCACCTACTTCAAACCAGAGGGATGGTGTAATGCCAAATCAGAATAGTGGTAATGGTACATCTAACTTGGGAGTAACCTAAATATAAGAGACAATGTCCTAAATAATGGACAGAATACCCCACGTGTCAATGATGGAATAAATATTCAGGCTAATGGGAACAATGGCCCAAATCATGGCAACTTTGTTGCCAACCAAGGATCAAACATCAGGCCTCAGGCAAATCAACCGACCAACCAACCTGTAGGAATTTCATATGACCTCAACGTCATGTTGAGAAATCAAATTATGGAAATAGTACAAGATCAAATGGCTTTTGGGGTATGTCCTGTCATTAGGCCGACTTACACAAAGTCATACCCTGATTGGGTAGACCAAGCATATCCATGGCCTAGAGGGTATAAAGTGCTAGAATTCTCATTATTTACCAATTTAGCAGAGGTGTCTACTCTAGAACACATAGGGCGATTCACACTGCAAAGTGGTGAAGTAACCGACTACCATAAAATGAGGTTGTTCCCTAGTTCATTAACAGGAGTAGCTTTCTCTTGGTTCATCAATTTGCCAGCGAATTCTGTTCAAACATGGCAACAATTGGAGCAATTGTTCTATGCTCAGTTTTATAAGACTGAGTTTGAAGTTACTTTAGCCGATTTGGCGAATCTACGTCAAATGTCAAACGAATGGGCAGAAGGTTTCCTTCAAAGGTTCAAGACAGTAAGAAGTAAATATTTTGTACCTTTGCCCGAAAAGGAGTTTGTCAAAATCGCTTAAAGTTGTCTAAGCTTTGATTTGAAAAAGAAATTCCAAGACAGGGAATTTCCTGACCTTTTATCTTTTCTAATTTAGCGCGAACGTGATTAGGTATGAACGATTAATAAGAAAAGAAGAGCAAATGAAAAATTCTAACAAGGGGACTTATTATAGAGACCCAAATTTTGATGTTCATACCATTAATGAAGAGTATTAAGATCAAATCGAATGTGTTTGGCCGAATTAATCAAAGAAGATGCATATACTTGTCCTATAATAGCTAAGTCTAGATCGTTAGGCAAGGATGAGCCTATAAAAGATGAAAACAAAAAGGCTAGAACGGTCTCGTTCGATGTAACCAAAGCTGACCTTATATTTGATAAACTATATAAGGATAAGCAGATAAAACTGAGCGATAAACATAAGTTGCCAAGCCCTGAACAAATCAAGGGTAAAAAATATTGTAAGTGGCATAATGTATGGTCGCATTTGACTAACAACTATTTGGTTTTTCGCCATGTGTTACAGGACGCCATTGAATCAGGACGAATTACATTCGAGGATAAGAAGAAGATGGCAGTTGATGAAAATCCTTTTCCACAGCCACTTGGGTTGAACATGATGACGACTGGTTTCAAAAACAAGTTGCCAAAATTCAAGTTGGTTATAGATGACGGAGAAGAGGACCCTGGGCCACACCCCAGTGTCTTTGAACGTATCAAAAGGAAGGAGCCTAAAAAGGATGAAGACGTCCTGTGTGCAAGATGTAAAAGAGAAGTGAGTGCAAATACAGAAAAACCACGAATATGGTAGCATCACCATCGCCCAAGTTTTTTCCCAAACGCTCAGCCTGGTATAGGGCGAGGTATATCATTCTATAGGGGACCGCCTTTTGAGAGGCAGTTCAGGTCAATAAATAATGGGAGAACATTCAGACCGCAACCTCGCCAACCAAATGTATGGCATTCGTTTCAGTATAATGCAGGAAGGGTGATACCCTTCAACGAGATGACTAGAACCCAACAAAGGCGCTTTCAATGGAATTATGGACGAATGATGAGGCAACAACAGGGAGTGCCACGTACTAAGGCGCCCAAACTACTCGAGGTGGCCAATCAAAATGTTCTCGAAGACAGTGATGAGACTGGTAAGGTGAACCGATGGAAGAATTGCCAGAGAGTTCTTCTGGGAGATCGAAGTTTGAGCGAGGCAGAAGGGATGGAGAAGATCCAGATTAGCCCCTTACTATTCAGTTCGGTACATTACCTCCTGTCATGGCTAATAATTATTTACTAGCCAATGAGTTCAAGAACAAATAGAAAAAAAAGAAGAGAGGGTGGATAACGAGGAAGAAGCATGTGTGCTGGAATGTGAAGAAGGCCAAACTTCTAGAGGGGCCTATAATGGTGAAGAGGATGATGGTATGACGAACATCGAAGAGAAAATTGATCTGGAAGCAGAAAGAAGAAAGAGAGGAGTATCGCACAATACTCTGTTGAAGCAACTACATCGAGAGGGAGTTCGTGAAGTGAACTTGTTGGGGGAACCATCTGGGTGTTCTTTCGATTATTACGTACTGTACGGGACGCCCAAGAGGAAAAAGAGAGTACCTTGCTCTGAAAAGTATGGATCACCTCCAAGAATAATGCCTCATCCCACAAGTTGGGTAACCGAAGAAGAAGTATTAGAAAACAATAAAAAGGAAATTCAGGAAGCGGAAATTCAGTGCGACATACTGCACTTATCACAAAAGGATAATTTAACAGAGAACAAACAGGAAGTGAAAAATAGATGCTGCCGAAAAGGTTATTTTTAAGAGACCAGCCATGAAGTTAACTAAACACTTGATACCATTGTACATTAAGGCTTTAGTTAACGGTATACCTGTGGCGAAATTACTTATCGATAATGGAACAGCTATAAACACCATTCCATCTA